GTAGCATCTATTTCTAGTTACTCTTCTCATATGCGTATGTGAATGGCCGTCAACATATAAATCTCAGTGACCAGAGATTAAGCTGTCAATTCCTACAATGAGCAAGGCTTTGGGGTCAAATGGCCTTCAATGTCCTTTCTAATGACCACTAACTTAAACTTCAGGATATGACTCAGATTGCACAATACTGTCAAGCTGGCAGACTGTGGGGACATTTAAAGAAAATCTTGGTAGGCCAAGTCCTGAATTTGGTGTCTTTCTCTCTGGCAGCAGCAAACAGTCTCGCTAACACCTACAGAAGAATGCAAGCATCTGCAGGCACTCACCACACAGCTTCAGATGTCCAGGATCATTACAGAAGGAACCCAGACCTGGATTCAGGGTCTGTGTGAGTTCTTGCCAGGAAATGGTTTTCAACTACTTTGTTTTAACACCTTCGCCCCTGAATTCTCTAAAACCACAGCTTAGGAGGTAAAATACACCCTATTCATGCCTCTGTGAATCTGCATGTGGTTGTAATTCTGGATTGGTATGTGAAAACACACTTTGCTGTTTACCTTCAAGTTGAACAGCTGGGCCATCTTACTGGACTGATTTCTTAATACCAAGCCATTAGGACACAAATACACACATACATAATACATACAAGCACACAAAGACACACACACATACAAATACACAGACACATAGTCTCTGTTCCTATCTCTGTCTCTTCCCCCCCCCTCTCTTTCTCTCCACACACATACACACAAAACCCCTCCAGCCACACTTCTCAGGAAATCCAAGACCTCCTGATCAATAGTTGGCTGGTGGTCTGCCAACTCCCTAGCAATGTACACACCAACCTTGAAGTCTTGAGGCACATCTGAAGCAGTCCCTGCATTTTCCTTAGTGTCATGACTGTGACAGGGCAAGACAGTGCCGAGGTTCCTCCATCTTGTGTTCTTATTGAGGTCATTTCAGGCTTAACTAGAATTTAATCTCTATGACAGAGAATTCCGTGGAAAATTTCCCAACTCTATTCTAGGACACTGAGGCCAAGATGCCCAGCTAACTTAGCCTCTCTTAAACTGCCTGCTTGTACAAACCTCTCTCTCCAGCCATTTGCTTGTCTTAGTTTCTGTTAAACTGCTTGCTTGCACAAAACTCCTCCTGCAGCTGCTGAGCAAAATACCAGGATGTGGCTTTTGCTTTTAAAAGCCCCTTACTCTAAACACTGGATAGTATACTTTGGCCCCAAATACCTGAATGTAGTCATAGTCGGCTAGAATAAAGACTTTCAATTGGCTATAAACTGTGTCTGGGTGGTCATCTCTGGAGGTGGGGGTGGGGTTCCCCAAAATAATGAATATGAAGAGGAAGAAAATATTATTTGAAAAATATACTTAACCCAAGGGCAACAACCTAGAAGATATTGCTTATTTGGAATCTCCTACAAAACAGAATTTTCTTTGAAACTTTGTGTCAATAAGAAAATTTGCAAATCTACCCAAACAGTTACAATACTACCATAGCATCTGTGTATTTAGTGTATTTTTTGCTTGCATTTGGACTTGGTCATTATCTCTTCTGGGTGGTGATTTCTAATGTAAAACTAATACCATTATCAGTATGTTTGATCACAGCTAAATAACATTTAAAGACACACTATCGTATCATGGATACTAAACCATTTACAGGCCTTCCATTCCAAACTGTTACCAACATCTTACTCTCCAGAGTACATTTAAACAAAGTTGATGTTTATTTTTCTCATGCTTTAACCCATTTTCCCCTATGTCAGAGAATGTTATGTATATTCTGTAAAGAATGGTATCAACAGACTGCCTACACCCCAGTGTTCACATAGGTAGTTCTGTTTTTGTCGTGATAGTGGACTCGATCTGGTGGAAGGAAGAGCTCTAAACGGTAGACATGCTTGGCTTTAAATGCTTGGTGTGCACAAAACCTTGGGTTGAGATTAGTGCATCCTCTGTGGGAATGGATTTATTTATTTCATAATAATAACTCATAGGCATCCATCTGCCTCTGCCTCAAGAATTCTGGGATTAAAGGCTTGTGCCACTGCCACCCACCTGGCTTCACACAGGTAGTTTTATGTTAAATCTTGATAAATAAACAGGATTTTGGAAAAAAAAAAAAGGAAAGTAGAAGGACACCATCATATTCCCAAGAAGTATTTTGAGAAATGGTATCCTGTCTGGGAGTGAACAGTGTTTGAGGAACACGGAGTCAATGGTAATTATCCAGGCAAGAGACAGGGACAACTTGTTCTAGGGCAGTGGCAATGCAGACAAGCAGATAGATAGACCAGACAAAGTTGCTGAATTACTTCCCAGCATAGCTTTGGTGCCTACAGTTGTAGCCCCATAGTTCCAAGTGGGAGGGACTGCTCGCTGAACTCTGATTTGGATATGTTACAACTGAGAGAATAGAATGCTTTCAGACAGGGGCCCCTCAGATGAATAGAAGATACTTGGGTGGAGCTGTCCAACAGACAGATGAACATCTTGGTGAAACTATCTGTCCTTGACAGATGTCTAGGTTAGGGAAGAAGAGAGCACCTGGTAAGGTAACCTATGCACCTGTGTGAGGAGAACATTTAAATGCATATTAACGTATTGGTAAAGAGGAAGTTGTCAGGACTCTTTCCTGTCAGGACTTCAGTTTTACTTGAGCATTAGGACATGCTAATCTAAAGGTAATTGGAAAGAAAGATTTGGCCACATTTTTAGACTAGGAAATCATTAACCAAATGGGGCAGTGAGTGCGCTTAGGAAAGCATTTTCTAAATGCTAAACTGCCACACGGTAACTTACTTAATATTTAACATGAAAATACTAAATATGGTCAGAAGATAATAATTTAGTAAAAAAAAAAAGATGTAAGTGAGAAAGAATAAAAAAACAAGCATGGAAATATCAGCTAAAAAAATTAGAACATGGGGAAAAGAGGAGGAGAACTAGAAACCAAATACATGGGCAGGAGAGCTGCTAAAGTCCCTTCACTTCCATCAAATTGCCTGACATGCAAAGGATAGCATTTGATCTATGGTAAATGATAGTAAAATAGGACTTGGGATGTGGGCCAAAGGATCAGAGTGTTTGCTCTGTAAGTTCAAATCTGTAGCACTCACATAAAAAGCCAAGCAAGGGTCTGCACACGCCTCTAAACACCAGCATGCTCCAGGTTCAGTAGACACCCTGCTTCAAAGGAACAACACAAAGAGGACTAAAAGAGACACTCAAAGTTCTATTCTGGCCTCCTCATGTGGGTATACACACACAGATATTCATAAGCATTTATTCATATAACACACACTACACATACCCCCCAAGAAAGAGGAAATATCAAAATAAATGCATGTACTCAAACCTCTAATTTTACTGAAATGACTCAAGAGTCCCATTTGCAATTAAGGTATCTAATTCCCTGCCCCTTTAACTACTGTGTACAGAACTGTAGGCAGCAAAGGAGCTTTGCCTGGGGCCTCCTTCACTCTGTGCTTCAACTTGTTCCTGGGACACTAAACCCCCAAAGCTTCAAGGTCAACAAGGTCAGAGGCTGCCCCAGGCTTAAGGCCAAACAGATATATCTCAGATCAGTCATAAAAACCACAGCTTCAACATCTGGAAGAGATGGCTTTAATAAAAAGTTCTAAAATAGTGGATGTATGTACATACTAACATATGTGATATATTAATCATACCCATATATTATTTTCTTCATAGAGTTATTTAACATCACTCTTCCTAAGTGTATGTATCTACCCCTTCCTTACATATTAGCTTAATTGGCTGCATGCTTTTTGACAAACAATATTAGATGGAATTTTAATGTCTAATCTCCGATTCTCTATCAATTGATAGAGGAAAAAAATGCATCCACAGAACTAGAAATCCCTAATGAAAGAATCCAGTTTGATACCATGCCTTCCCACCAGGACCCCCAGAGATTCGAAGCACAATAACTTCTTGTCACGTCTGATTTTAACCAGTCATCATGATATAACTAAGAAACTTTAAAACAATCAGCAAGGCCTGTGCAGGAGCCAGCCTAAATTCTTGACATTTTTCTCATTGTTTTCGTGCAAAAACACAAGCAGAGAAGGCTTAATCAAGGAAACAATCAGCAAATCATTACCAGGCCACACATCCTTGCGTGTGTGTGTGTGTGTGTGTGTGTGTGTGTGTGTGTGTGTGTGTGTGTGT